TAGACTTATAGAAAGAGACCTTCAAAAAATGTTAAAATGTATTACTGGCACGCGAAACCTTAAATTAGAGTGAATAAATGAAGACTCGGCACACCACTTCTGAAAGGTTGCCGACCCCTGATCTAGACACTACAAGAACCAGTGAAGATAGGTCAATGGCCAACACTGTGCAATGAGAATTTTATATTAAATTGCAATGACTTATACTGTCAAACAAATCCTTGCCCCTCCTTTAGTCTATGGAAGTTTCAGGCAAAAATCAAGTGCAAGTGCAAAAATCAAGAATAAAAAAGTTACGTATCTTAGTGACTGTGGTTCTTTGAGATGGCTGTCCACATGGATTCCACTTCTACTGTGCATGTGCCTATGCACGCATAAAATCAGATTATTTTGCCCAACAGTGTCCACTGGGACTGTGCCTAAGTGTGGCTACTCTCTCACCCACTTCCCTCCCCTCCCCGCAAGCCATAAAGGGCACAGGGGTCCTAACCATCCCATAGTTGTTCCCCCAATGCAGAAGCCAGATGGTATAGAATTCCATAGCAGCAGTGAAATAGGAGGGTCATAGATTCCATGAGCACAACATCTTAAAAGAACCATATAGTTACTGTAAGGTAAGTAGGACCCTACCAAATTCATGGATGTAGCGAGGTGGCAACAGACCAGGCGGCTGCAGAGCCAGGAAAGCCATGCCCGCCATGCTGGAAGCTCTGGGGCGGGACAGGAAGCAGAAGTACAAAATGCAGGCTGTCCCGCAGCTCAGTTGGGCTGGAGCAGCCCAGGGAGATAGACGCTTCTCCCCCGCTGCCGCCTGAGGACTGGACGTCGAGGAGGACGACCTCCTGGGGCTGCCGCCTGAGGACTGACCAAAGCTTCCAGGGCTTCCACCTGACCGAGACACCGAGGTGATGCTGGGGTTATCGCCTGAGAATTGGCCACAGCTCCCAGGGCCGCAGGCCAGCCGAGGTGCCAACAAGTGGTTGGGGCTACCACTGACCACCGACCCTGGGGAGATGGAGGATACCTACAGCACATAGGTACCAAACCCCGGGGAGGTAGGACGTAGCCAAGGGAAACTAGACAACTGTTTGGTTGGGCCGTGGCCTGATACTAGGTCAGTGTGTTGCGGGCGGATCCCTGCTGACCCAGTGACAGACCACTCTGCCACTGTTAGGGCCCTGGACTGGGACCCGGTGGAATAGGGTGGGCCTGAGTCCCTCTACCCCTCTACCACCCCTAGGGTGGCTGCCTCCCCACATTGGGCCAGGAGGCCTGTTTTCTGCTTACCCCTGCCTGAGGCCCAAAACTGCCTTACTGCTCTGTTGTTGCGAGAAGCATCTGCAACACAGAGATCAGTGCCAGAATCACTGGCACAGATGTTGGTACTAAGAGAAGTCTTAGATGGGTACTGAATTTATAATATAATCAAATATTGCCAAGGCATCCGAGGGACCTGTCTGGGTTAAACTATTGTGGATCAGCAGTCTGACAAGATCTAGGACTCATTTTATTAGGTCCTGGGGAAGGTGATGTAGGCTGGCCCTCAATGAGGTCCAACCTGAGTTTCAACTCACAAAAGTGCTAGCTGAAGAAGCCTGTTCTGGCTTAGTAGGCCCTTTCCCCCTCTAGTTTTGAAGAGGCTTTCATACAGTGCACTCCTGAAGAGAGAATTTAAAAACAGACATCTCTCCTCCAAGATGGCACAGAAGAGAAGGAGATACAGATTAAACACCTATCAGGGATGTACCCCTCTTCAAGGCAAAAACAAAACAAAAACAAAAACAAAACAAAGGTACTTCAAATGCCTGTCATTGAGCAGAATAGCCACATGACAGGAAGGAACAAATTTTAAACACTGGTGATTTTGTTTCAGCCATAGTAACAGGAGAAATCCCCAAAATTAATAAAAGTGTTGTGGGTTTTGTTTGTTTTTAAAGACAACGGGTATAAAGGAGGAAAAAACTAAACACACACACAAAGTCACACAGTGCATAGAGATGAAGCCACTGTAGGGGTTCTGTCTCACTGCCATGGCAGTAAGAAGGAACAGTTGTGCCTGCTCTGTTCTTTAAGCACTCAGGTTTGAAGGGTGGGAAAGGTACGTGAGAGAGGGCATCCAAGGGTAGCTGCAGCCCCAATGGATGCAGCTGGCCAAGAGAATTTGATCTTGTGCGCATGGGTACGTGTGCCAGAAGTAGAATCCATGTGGACAATCACTTGAAGACGAATCTAATTATAGGGTTTCTTGGGTGAAATTGATTCTTTTTTGGGCTGCAATACAGAAATAAAAAAAACACACATATTCAAAAGAAACATGATGAACAATCTGCATTTGTGGTTTCAGGTCAAAGTTGCAGTGCTGGATTTGGGTCATATGGGCATGACTAACATGCTCTCAGGCAACTGTCAGCCATTATAAAATGTATTTTAGCTTTCAGGCTCTCGTCTCCCTCCTCATTTTTGAATTATTTATCTAGTCACATTTTATTATGTCAGCTTACAAAAGATATTAAAAGTAAAGGGAAGGAAAAATTGTGAATATGTTTAAGGGGTAGATCAGAGAGTGGCCTTTTTCTGTCTCTGAAAATCCATCTAGATTTATTTAGCCCCCAAAAAAGGAAGTTTTCACATATGCTGCAGGGCTTACACTGCAGGCTTTGCTCCTAAATTCTCATAATTCCATCTGCACTGACCACGCTCCCCAGTCCCACTGAGCACTGTTGTGAAGCAGCTACTGCAACTCTTCAAACACTTCTGATGACTCATGCAGAGGGTTATTTCAGAATCATGTAATCTTTTTTTTATTAAAGGAAAAATAGGAAGTAAGTTACATATAAAAAGCTATGCTAAAAGAAATGTAAAGGTTGCAAAGTCAAACACTTAAAATTAGGAAACAAGAATTAAGGTTTCTTGGTCAGTTGTATCCATAGTGCAAGCATGATACTCCTTAACTCCATGATTATATTCCATTTTTTTTCCTCAGAACCCCACCACATTCATTGTTCAGGATGAATGGTGCTCAATAAATCAGAGATACATACTAATGTGTGCCATATTTGAATCAAAAATCCCATTAAAGAAAAAGTTATGTAATCACATAAGTATAGGCCATATTGTAATGCACACATGGCAAGGGGGGCAAATTAAGCTTGCCTCGACGACCTTAACTGACATTTAACTTTTCATTGCTTAGCTTTGCATCTTTTAACTTTTTATGGTATTTAAAAAGGTTTAGCGGTTTTTCTTTTGAGCCAGATAACAAAACATAGTACCCTGAATTAACTTCTACTTACTAGCTTGATCCATTACTGTTCTTAGAGGAGGTTCCACTTTAGCTAGGAGAGGAGCACATAACTGTTCAAACTGAGCTCTGTAGAAGAAGAAATAGTGTGTTACAGGCACAACTAAAACCACCATATTCTGGTAGGAGTTAGTGTAACATGCAGTACTGTACCTGTTCATCTTACTGGAGACATCAAGGTCATCCATGAAGCACTCAATGTTGAGTGGGAGGTCAGAAGCGTTTGCACTCATAAGTTTCTTCAGTTTTTCACTTTCCTGATACAAGCGCAGCAGTGCCCGAGCATTCTCTTTCACGTTCAGTTTATATTTTGTCCTGAATTCCCCACAGAAGTAATCTACTAAAGCCTCGTCAAAGTTTCTGCCACCCAAAAAAGGGTCAAAAGCAGTAGCCAAGATCTGCATAGAAGTAAAATGTGTCAAATGCATATACTGATCCTCTACTTTCTGCCAAATCAGCATTTTCCATAATGTTCCCCTCCACTCTGTGAAGCTTACGGGCACATAGAACTGAGAAGTTCTGGACATACAGAAGGAAGAACTGGGATCTTTATCTTGTCATGCTGCAATCTCCCTATGTAAAAATATGCCATTCCATTGAGAAAGTAAAATCTGCTAATTCTCTTTCTTGCTTAAGTTTTCCATTGGGTATGCATGTCCTTGTTCAGAGCACAGCACGCCTAGGGCATTTATCTAAAAAGAACTGAGACCATAGAGCACTTTAATTTTTCGCACAACTTTTGTAGCCGCTGTGTTTTGTTACTGAAGACAAACATAGTCTAGGATAAAAAAGAATTAAGCCACTACGACCCCAGTCTTGAAAGCAGAAAGTCTCACAGATACAAAATTAAAATTGTTGAATTAAGTATACTTAGCAAACATCCCTAAGGCCTGGTCTACACTACGACTTTAATTCGGATTTATCAGCTTTAATTCGAATTAACCCTGTAACCGTCCACACAACGACGCTATTTAATTCGAT